CAGCAACCTCAAACTCCTGGGCCACCCAAGTAGCTTGGACTACAGCCATCTGCCACAACGCCCAACTATGTTGTTGTTGTTATTCTTGTTTAGCAGGCCTGGACCAGGTTCAAACCCACCAGCTCTTTGTCTTGCCTGATTAACGTTCTTTTTCTACTTTTTCTTGCCTTCTTTTAGATTAATCAATCATTTTTATTACTGCATTTTATAGTCTATTAAGCTGTTAGTTACACCTTTCTTTTGCCCTAAAGAGTATTAGATGCATCCTTGGTTAGGATCTGTTATAAATTAGGACTTGGATCACTTCCCTGAGAATGGACTTAGGTCCTGACTTTAGGCATTATTATCTTTTCTTGCAGTCAATATTCATTTGATCTTCCTTCTGGCTTACTCTTTCTGCGGCTCTTCGCTTCTTCCTACACTTGTTTTTCTGAGTAGGATCATTTTCTTTCTGGCTTTTGGCTACTACGAATAATGCTGCTGTGAACATCAGTGTGCAAGTATCTGTGAGTCCCCGCTTTCACTTCTTTTGGGTGTACACACAGAAGTGGGATTGCTGATTCATGTGGTAATTCTATTTTTAATTTTTTTAGGAAACACCATACTGTTTTCCACAGCAGCACATTCTCCTTTCCTATTAGCAATGCACAGAGTTCCAATGTCTCCACATCCTCACCAACAAGTTCTGTTTTGGTTTCTTTGTTTGAATAATGCCCAACCTAATGGATGTGAAGTATCTCATTGTGGTTTTGATTTGTATCTCTCTAATGACTAATGGTGTTCATCATCCTTTAAAGTATTTTTCTGATAATGGCCTTTATAATGTTGAGGTAGTTTCCTTCTGTTCCTATTTTGTTGAGCGCTATCATAAAAAGGTATTGAATTTTGTCAAATGTTTTTCTGCATCAATTGAGATGATCATGTAGTTTTTTTATCCTTCATTCCATTACTATGATGTAATAGAATGAAAATAAAAGAGTTCTGAACACCGAGCCTCAGGTATTCCAACATATAGGAAGACGTCCAGAGAGATGAAGAAATAACAGCAATGAGACTAAGAGGTTCTCTAGAAACCTCTAGAAACCAAGAGTGTTCTAGAAACCAAGTAAAAATATGTCACTTATGCAAAATACTACTGAGAGCTAAGCATTGTAAGTCTAAGAAATGAGGATTGGAATTAGTACCATGGAGCTTAACAAATTTGGCTAGAAGGCTATGTGAAGAATTTGTGTGATACATAGTTATGTCACACCTCTCATTGCTGATGACACGTATAATTTGTATCTTCTTTTTTTTTTAAACAGAGTCTCACTATGTTACCTCGGTAAAGTGCCATGGTGTCACAACTCAGAGCAACCTCAAATTCTTGGGCTTATGTGATTCCCTTGCTTCAGCCTCCCAAGTAGCTGAGACTACAGGCGCCCACCAAAACGCCAGGCTATTTTTTGTTGTAGTTGTCATTGTTTAGCAGGCCCAGGCCCGGTTCCAACCCAGCAGCCCCAGTGTGTATAGTCAGCACCCTAACCACTGAGCTACAGGCGCTGAGCCTAGTTTTGAATCTTGAGGTTTATAATCCATTTTGAGTTAATTTTTACGAAGAGGGTAAGGTCTGTGGCTAGATTTTTTTTTCCTGTTTTTTGGCATGTGAATGTCCACTTGTTCCAGCATTGTTTGTTTAAAAGTCTACACTTTTCTCCACTGTATTACCTTTGTTCCTTTGTCAAACATAAGTTAATTATAGTTATATAGGTCCATTTCTTGGCTCTCCAGTCGATCGTATTAATCTATTAATCTGTTCTTTCACTAGTACTACACTATTCTAGTTGCTATAGCTATATTGTAAGTCTCAAAGTTGGGCAATACCAGTCCTCCAGGTTTGTTCTTCTCCTTCAGCATGTATTGTATTACCTGTTCTGGTTCTTTTTTCTCTCCATATAAACTTTAGAATTGGTTTGCCAATATTCACAAAATAATTGTTGGGATTTTTTTTTTTTTTTTTTTTTTGAGACAGAGCCTCAAGCTGTCCCCTTGGGTAGAGTGCTGTGGCATTGCAGCT